TACATACATACATTGTTTTTCTTGGTGGAAAAAGTAATGATTTATTATCTTTTTTGGATTGCTGACTTGGCGGGGAAAGTGACCACTTAGTGGTTTTTTGTTAGATTTTATTTATTTTTGTAGAAAATCAACAGTTAAAATAAAAATCCTCTTTTCTCTGATATATAGACCACGGCACAACTACATCTCATTTAATTTCAATAATATTGTTTGTTATATAATTGTCAATAATATGAAAAATTTAAGCTGGTAATATAGAAAGATGTTTTATAAATAATATGGATGTACTGGTGATCTATATATTCATCTTTTTCTTGTCCTTAGAACTGTAAATTAAAAGTCCACTCTGCAGTCGCATCGTACGATGTAGTTCTTTCCATGCGTTGCGAAATGCTAAATTTGCCGTCCTCTTCAACCCAAGTTATCTATTGAACCATTGATTGTAAAAAATTTAAAAAAAATATATTTTACGCATCACACTTTTGGCTACAACTTTGCCACAGACAAAACCTCTCTAACCCAAAAACAAAACAAAATCTCGCATGCTAACTTTTTCATGTTAGAAATCACGATTTAAAACTATTTCACCATACATATCAATTTTTATTAATTAGATCGGTAAATAGTTTAAAGTTCCAACAAAATAGTCATCGAGTAGGACTAACCAAGAAGCTCTGTGCCAATTTTCAAAATTTTAGCACAACTTTAAGTACACCAAAACGCGAAATTATTGAAGTCATGCGTCGAGGGGACTATCGTTGTTTTTAACAGATTATACTTTTGACCTTCCGGGACTGTTGACTCAGCGAAACTGAACATATATTTTATCTTATTTCGTTATATTAAAACTGCTGTTGCATTAGGTCAATTCAATTCAATTCAATTCAATATCATCTTTATTCTGTTTCTTGTAACATTTACAAAGAATAGAGTCACACATAAGGTAAATATAACATAAGGTCATACAACATTTTTTTTTTTTTTTTTAACTTAATTTTATTTTACAATCTGTTCAATACTTTGAACAATTAGTAAAAGGGATAATATAAATAAGTGTCTTGACCAAGAATCTTCCCTGTGAAAGATCTTGCAAAATTAAATAGTCATGTCATAACTAAAACTATACAAATCGGTATGGGAGTTCTAGAACTTTCACAATTTTCAGTCTGTTGGGAAAATCACTATTGTCCAGCAAATTAACGGCTATATTGTTCGGGTGGGTTTCGAGTTTTTCTTGATAGTTCTTGCTAATTCTTGTTATTTCTTCAATTACTGTAGGTATTCTGAAATCTTCATGGATTGTTCGATTCGAAACAAACCACGGAGCATCAACTATTCTTCGTAGCGCCTTTGACTGAAATCTTTGAATAATTGCTAAGTTGGATTTACTTGCCGTTCCCCAAAGCTGTATCCCGTACGTCCAAATAGGTTTGATCATAACTTTGTAAAGTGTGAGTTTATTGGTCAACGAAAGCTTAGATTTTTTGCCTAGAAGCCAGTTGAGTTTACGAACCTTCAAGTCCATTTGTTGTCTTTTACACCAAATATGTGTTTTCCAAGTTAATCGTTTATCCATATGGAATCCTAAATACTTAACGCTGTCCACTTCTGTCAACGCTATATTGTTCAAAGTAACTGGAGGGCAGTTTTCTTGTCTCAGCGTGAATGTTATATGTAAAGATTTTGTTTCATTAACTTTAGTTCTCCATTTTTTTAGCCACAGTTCGAAATCATTCAATGTAACTTGCAATTGATTTGAAGCATCTTGAGGATTTTCGTGAATGGAGAGAAATGCAGTATCATCCGCAAACGTAGCAACCGTAATATTTTGGCCCACGGGGATGTCGGAGGTATATAGTAGATATAAAACAGGTCCAAGAACACTGCCTTGGGGTACTCCAGATTGAATAGGCTTCAAGTCGGTTAAAATTTCTTGAAATTTAATCTGGAAGAATCGTTCATTTAAGTAAGATTTTAACAAACTGTAAAAAGAATGGGGGAGCAAGGATTTAAGTTTATACAGAAGTCCAGTGTGCCACACTTTATCGAATGCCTGTTGTACATCCAGAAATGCAGCAGAACAGTACTTTTTTGTTTCAAATGAATTTTTAATGATGTCTACTAGTCTGTGGGTTTGTTCAACTGTAGAGTGTCCTTTCCGGAAGCCAAACTGATGCTCAGGAATCAAATTTAAGTCTTCTATAATTGGGTTCAATCTTCTTAAGATTAGTTTTTCAAATAATTTGGATACAACAGGAAGCAAACTTATGGGTCTGTAGGACGAGACCTCATTTGGTGGTTTGCCTGGTTTTGGAATTACCACAAGTTGAGCTATCTTCAATTGAACTGGAAAATATTCTAGCCGTAATATTGCGTTAAATATGAAGGTCAGCAATAATATTCCTTTTCGTGGCAATTCTTTCAGAATCCTGCCAGTGATTAAATCGTATCCGGGACTTTACAACATAAGGTAAAATAATATAAAATAGTTTCATACTACGTCACATGTAACTGAGTTTCCCACATCATACAGTATTTACAATATATACATAGAAGAAACCTTTAAATAAAAATTATGTTTAAGATACAAAATAAACATTAGTTACAAAAACTACAAGAGGATAGAGACAGAGAGAGAGAGAGAGTTAAAAAATCATATATTTACAAGAAAAATAAAGTTGCTATGAGATAAAGTCTTGGAGAGAGTAAAAAGCAGATTTAATTAGATATTCTTTAAGTAATTTTAACAACCTTTTATGGTTTTTCTCTGATTTAATATTTTGAGGGAGGTTATGAAAACATAAATTGCCCATGTAAGTGGTTTTCTTTTTAAAAAATTCCAATTTGTGTTGTTCAACTAAACGATGAGCTCTTGTGTTATACGAATGGGTTGTGTTGCCAATTGAAATTTTATTGTTGAGTAGTGTAAATTTTATTGTTTCATAAATGTATAAGCCGATAACTGTAAATATTTTTAAATCCTTGAAAATATGTTTCACTGAAACTTTTCGTTTCAGATGAAACATTATTCTCAATGCACGTTTTTGTTGAATGAGAATTTTGTCCATGTTCTTTATTGTTGTCGATCCATATATACTAATACTGTAGGCAATATGAGAATGAATTAGGGCGAAGTAAATAGATTTCATGGTTTTTAGATTACACCAGTGGACCATTTTCCTTAAAGCGTGTATGCCACTAGATGTTTTCAGGTCAAATTCCCAATAAGTCAATTGTTTTAACATAGACCACGTTTTTAGTTCGGACTGTACTATTTGACTTACTGGGATTTTTGATCTACAGACACTGCAAACATTGTAGTTTTTGACCTAGCGGCACAGGTATAAATTATTTGACCTTCCGGGACTGTTGACTTTCTGCAACGCGTCCAAAAAAACGTGTTTTGTCGTTTTCAGAGGTCCGCCATTTTGGATTTTTGTGGGGGTTAAAATTTGAAAATGGGGCTTATGCAACTTTCACTGTTAATAGTGATGGACGAGACTAGATTTTTCACTTTGAGACAAGATTTTTTTAATTACCGCGTGACAAGATTTTTTTTGGGACGAGATTTAATGAAAAGTTATAAAAAAATTAATATCTACTTTTTAAGTTCAGAAATATTTACAAGTTTTAAGAACTTGGCAAAAAATAGACAAAAAAAATTTTAAAAATATAGGCCTATTTTAATTATTTAATTTTTAATTTTATTGAAAACATTAACAAAAACATCAGTATATAAAAGAAATTAATAAGGCCTAACTTATTAAAAACAACTCTTCGGCATAGGAAACATGGAGATGTCAGTTAGTATAATATAGTTCAACTTTGAAAAATATAAAAAACAACAGTATTACTAGTTAAGTATCAAGTAACAAAGCATTGCGGGAGTTGGCGCAATACACGTTGGAAATTTTAGTATGAAAAGTACGACCTGAACTACCTGGATTTTTTTTTACTCATGATTTTTTCTGGTTGGCCTTGTGGACACCCTGAGACTGTACATTATTTTTCTGGTACAGTTTTTAAACCTATTCCATCTGTAGCAATAATTAAAATTTTTTTTTACTATAATATATTTATATGGTGTACCATCTATATTTTTATTTCATGTGTTTATAAGGGTTCAGACTTAAATTGGCTTTTTAGAACTTTTTATGGCTGTAATTTTTTTTTACTTGAGAAAACACCCCATTACCGCAAAAATTCTTTGTGAAAGGACACAAAGACAGGGGTTGTAGTATAATTAATTCATTCAGAAAATTTAGTTCTAAATTTTTTTAACTTTACTTAAAGTAAAAAAAAAGTAGGTATCCGTATTGAGAATTAATAAATTTTGGTACTGTAGAGACAGACACAACACAAGTTAAAAATAATTAAATAACTACGTAAAGTATTTTCAACATAATAGAATTGGAATTGAGAATTAAAATCAATTTGAAAGAATCAGAATCGGAATTAGAAAATTTCTGAAATCGACCCATCATTAGTTTGAAACGTTCCTGCGAGAATCTGGTTTAACATTTTATGTACAAATTATAAATATTAACTTAACAGTAGTGTAAGTGTTTTGTAAATAATCTTAAATATGTAGGCCTATCTTGTTCTGAAAACTGTCTTTTTTTTAAACAAAGTGTGGCCTATACTTAATATCTTCGCAATTATTTTGTGTTTTGGACTAATCTTCATGTTATTTGATGCAGATTACAAATATGGTGTACTCTAAGTGAAATACAAAAGTGTTGGGTGAATGGCTAATTAAAGGGTAGGGACTCCTCCTTACCGTTCTAAGCTCTTAGCCGCCGGCTAAATCTTTGTGCGGAGTAAAGGAATCGTGCCATTTAAGTCAAGACCTCAAAGGTTAAATTTCTCTCATTACAAACCATTTTTGAAAATAAATAAAATTCATCTATTCTTTAGGTATGCAACAAAACAGGCATTTTCTATAATTTGAGTACTGGGATACCGTACTTTTATGTTAATATTTTTTAAATATATTGCAGATTGACGAGAAAAAAAGGAAATTGCAGCAGGCTACAAATTCAAAACCCAAAAGCAAGAAAGCTAAAACAGAAGATGAGGTAAGTGTTGGAACATAAATATAAATGTAAAAGTTGCATTACAAATCTAAAATTATTTGGGCCAAAGAAAATAGTCTTTGCCTTAGAGTATGTTGTCAGACGACTTGTATTGCTAGAAAACTGGTATTTATGTGACTTTTGATAAGTAATAAACAATATCTATAAAATGATGTCTGCAATTTTTTATGAGTTAGGGAAATTGTTCAGGCCTAGGCTAGCAAGCATGATCACCAATAGTTATTTTTGCAATTTGTTTTTATTTGCATCAAGTAAAAAGATCTCGATCATAGAGAATTGTCACAATTCTGCCTTGCTGTGATTGCTGTGAACAGGGTTGTCAGCGACCTGGAATTCCAGGAAAATTATGCGTGGATTTTAACCGCTGTGAGAAAACCCGGAAATATGTGTGAAAATGGTTTTATTCAGGGATTTTCTATGAATTTAAACTATTATCATTATGTTAGTTTATTTACAAGGAATTTTATAATCATAACAATTTTGAGCCAATTTACCCAAAAAAATTATACCTAGTGTATGTATATTTACGACCCGACAAAATACGCCGACTCGCCGCCAGCTCTGTAATAACGTGAAGCGTGTAGCAGGGTAGCATCAGTGTCGGTATACGCATAGCTGGAACAAAGCAAAACTTGAGCCTCAAAACTCAAGGTCATGGCTTTAATTACGTCCTAGTCCTAGTCGAATATTAATTTTATTTTAAATAGAGAAAGGCCGATAACAGAATTTCTCGATTCTATACCAGTTCTGAAATATTACTCACAATTCTTGATACCGATTCCATGTAAAAACTCATATTTTTAAGGAAGTTGCCATTGTCAATGTTTTGTTGTTGTATCATCCATGTTAGAATTATTCTGAATCAGACAACCGACGTAGTTCATGCCGGCTCAAAATTATCGTGTGATCTCAGTTATTTATCGTTTTCAAGTCTGATAAGTAAACGGAATCAGGGAACCGCTCTTGCTTTACAAAACGAAATAGTCTGAAATAGACTGAAAACATCCAAATGCATCACTGCCATAGCAACTCTGCTAGAAAATCTAAACGCTGTAAAATGTTATGTTGGTACCACTTCAAGAATCAACCAGCTCATATTGCCGGTACCGACTTAACCTTGACCGCAATAAGTATTTGTCTGCGTTCGCGTTGCGCGTTTGTGTAGCAAGCAATGGCGGCACTGTACTGTAGAGTAGTGGTGGAAATCACCGAATGAAAATAACCGAATCAATCGGTTATTTATGCTAAACAGACTAATTCGTTTATTTTATCCTGATTTGGTTAAATTAGTCTTACCGAGCGATTTGGTGATTTAACTAAAAGTTTTATCAGTTAAATTTATTTTACGATTTTTTATTTTACCTTTTTGATATTATCCCTATAAATTATTACAAACTGATATTTTTTAACCCTAAAATTGTTACACTAACATATTACTTTTATAAATAGAGCAGACAGGTCGGAAGTCAAAAACAGTTTAAAGAGGTGGTTACTGGGTAGGCCTATTGACTAAATGTTATTCGGTTTATCATCACTTCAGGTAAAATTACTGTATTTGTTGTTTGGAATAGTGAATAATAACTAAAATTGATTCAGCGATTGGTTCGACTAAAAATTACCAATTGTCGCTAAATGACTAAAATGTTATTCAGTTTCTCATAAGATAAAAATTAGTTGTGGTTAGGGACAGTAAATGATGACTAAAATTGATTTTGTGATTCATTAAACTAAAAATAACCGATTGACGCTAAAAATAACTGATTGATTATTCAGTCCATGGAATCCATTCGGTTATCCCATCACTACTCTAGAGTGTAGACACTAGACAGAGGACACTGTGTGACGGGCTACAGTAAATGTGTAGGGGGGGTAAAATATTCGTAATTGTTATTCCACAAGAATTAAACAGCCAAATATTGGCTGTTGGAGAAGCCTAGCCGTCACACTAAACTCATACATAACCTCTGAACCTCTGAATCCAGGACGGCAGACGACGTTGGTGTCAGTTTAGTTGGTTGTTCGTTCGTTTACGTCTGGACAGGCTAGGGGAGAAAAAAGGTGGCTGAGCCACCTTCTGAGTGGTTACACGGCTATAAAGCTTTTTGAAGCTGTCATGCGCCTGCCTTTGCCGGCACGGGTCTCAGCTTACTTTGGTTCTGCTAGCCAATGAGCGAGCGATTTTTTCTAGGTCTCAAATTGTGAAGTTGGTGAAGAAGAAAGGCGGAGATTCCGTCTTGAATTCTCAACTCGACTGGTGGTTTTTGTTTTTCGTTCGTGAAGTGTCTTTGTCGACTTGTTGAAAAATTGTTTCGTTTGGTAGACAATATTCGTGAAGCTGAAGTTCTTCAAGCTAATGTGAAGTGGGTCGGATACATAATAAAATCTTCGTCGTTTGGTTTGGGTGAGCTTTGTAATAAACTATTTAGGTTTTCGTACATTACTTTACCAGTTTTTAGTTGGTATAACTTTGCTGAAGTTTGTAGGCTAGGCCTGACTCCCAAAACTAGTCCGATTTAACCAACCAAGTTTGCACCTTGCCGTTAGTGACCTATCTTTTGAAATAATGTTTCATATATGTGTGTATTGGGCCTTTCCTTTTTTTAAATTCATAAATCTGTTAACCATAAATAACATAAACAAATGATTGAATCAGCTTTTATGTTTTTAAACACCTGATTGACGTATAACATATATTGTAAAGCTATTTAGACAATATAAAAGGAGTATTAGCCTTGTTTAAATGGAGAAAAGCGGTCATGCATTTGGAAAAGAAGGCATTTCTCAGTTATTATTTATCCAATCTTAACAAATAAGGATTATTTGGACAAATAAGGACTATCATAAAAAATTACATAAAATTTACAAACTTTTTTGTCTCTTACAATTTTTTTGTTAAGTTTACGGTTTTTGTGAAATTTTGCATCAAATATTTTAAATGGCTTAAATGGCTAATTTTAAAACGGTTAATAATTTTTTAGTATAATTCTAAACAAAGATTGGTCTTAACCCTCCGAGTGTTACGTGTCGAAAAATCGACACATAACACACTTTGTGTAGTGTTTTGTGTCAATTTTTCGACTCACAAACACTGTTTACGGTGAAGGCTCTATGACTGACAAAATCGGATTGAACTGGATCGAGTTAGGTATCGTTTTATTTGGCAGATTCTAAGCTTTCTCCCGAGGTCTGTCTCTAAACGCTTTTTTTTCTGGAGCCGATCATAATTGTAGCAGACAGCTGACGTGCGTATTTGTAAACAGCTTGGTTAACCTCACACCGATGACTGATGTGTTTTATTACGTTTATCATTGTTTTAGTGTTAAAAATCAAAAGTAGTGATATACGTGGTGCATTATAAGAAGATTTAAGTGGTTTTGAAGTGCTGGTTGATGATCCTGAAGAAGTAGGTAGTGATATTGATGTAAATTATCAGCCAGATTCCTAGCTATGGTTAGGCTATGGATTCTTAGCTAAACGCTATGTACTGAAATCTGTTTTTTGCCCATAACTTATTTATTTACAAATCTACTTCCTTATATTATTATATATTTGTAATCCTCATAAAATTTAGAACAAAGTGGCTATTTCCAAATATTTATAAGCCTATAATTTATACAATTTCATTGAGCGCAAACTTGTTTTTTTGAAAATTTTCCAAAATATTTTTTTAACCTAAAAAAATTTTTTGAAACAAATGTTCCTTATGTTTTATGTATAATACTGAAGCCCATGATTTTCCAAACAAAATGGTATAGAACAGTATAATTAACATTGTTTTTAAGCTTCTCATATCCGTTTTAATAAAACATTCCTTGCAAATGCGCAAAAAGTAGGCAAACATTAAGGCCAAAACTAGGGACACTCGGAGGGTTAATAAGATAAACATGAAAAATTTATAATAAATCTCAACGCTGTATCTCAAACCATTTAGAAGTTATTTTTGTAAAAATACATAAATCCAGACAGACGGAAAACTAGGCACCATAGACCCATGTTCCAACGGTGAAATGTGTTTGTCTTGACCTAAGGAATAACACTAGCCTATAACTATATATATATATATATATATATATATGTCCAGAGAGTTACGGGACACCCTGTATTATATTATATAAAATTATATTACCAGGCCTAAGATAGGATTATGAGACTCCCTTTAACAAAATAAATTGTAATAAATATTACGTTTTACGTGATTGTCGACACAACATGCTCATAAAACCTCTGCTAACCTTAACATAACTTGTACAAAGTAAGCAGTTTTTTAAGGCCATCTCTTGCCAACAGTTTTTAATTTTAATTTGACCACGTCACTCTCCCCAGGCTCCTTTCATACTCTGCGGCATGCTGCGTTCGACAGCGGGTGCCGCATGTCTGTGCGGCGGCCATGGCATTGGTTGGGGGGTATCAGGGCTACCAACTTTTAGGAATTTCTATATTTATTTCAATTGCACAGGATGCGGCAAAAAATCTGATCTATTTTCTGCAGCGCATTGTTCAGCGACAGGTCGTCTGAGTGTGGTGGGAGTAAGCTCATTGCACAACCATAGAGGTTATTGTCGTCGTAATATACAGTACTGTGACATTGCACAACCATAGAGGTTATTGACGTCGTAATATACAGTACTGTGACATTGCCCAACCATATAGGTTATTGACGTCGTAATATACAATATTGTGACATAGCCTAACCATACAGGTTATTGACGTCTTAATAATTTATACAGTACTGTGACATTGCCCAACCATACAGGTTATTGACGTCGTAATATACAGTACTGTGATATTGCCCAACCATACAGGTTATTGATGTCGTTATATACAGTACTGTGACATTGCCCAACCATATAGGTTATTGACGTCGTAATATACAATATTGTGACATTGCCTAACCATACAGGTTATTGACGTCTTAATATACAGTACTGTGACATTGCCCAACCATACAGGTTATTGACGTCGTAATATACAGTACTGTGACATTGCCCAGCCATACAGGTTATTGATGTCGTTATATACAGTACTGTGACATTGCACAACCATAGAGGTTATTGGCGTCGTAATATACAGTACTGTGACGGCCTAACTATGGAGGTTATTGACACATGGATACAGACAACTTTGTGTTAGTAAAAAAAATCAGGAGAAATCGGAAAAAATCGGATCCATCAAAACCGGATCCAGCCCAAGATCCGGAATTTTTTTTATCCGATCCGGTGCCGGTTCTAGCTCGGATTCGGCGGATCCGGTAGTGGGTCATTCCATTCCAAATCAACCCATGGTCTGGGCCTTGACTTCTTAGATTTGCTTGATTTTTTGTATGCAGGTTCTACTAACCTAGTAAAAATATAAATTTTTAGATTTTTCTGACTTTTGGTTTTTGATTTACAAAGCTTTAAAAATCCGAAAATCAACGTTTTCGAGCCGCGTTTTGAAATCGTTAATATTGTATAACTCAAAAACTATTAGAGAGTTCAAATTTGTGGCATTCTTTTTAATTTGAAATGTTCTTTATTTTGATATGTCACATGCCTATGTTTAACAAATGTCAAAAATTTTGAAAAAAAATCAAAAACGTTTTTTGAAATTACTAAAATACGTCCCCTTGAATTTTTTTCATAAAAAAGTATGTGATTTGTACCTTAACACTACCTGTACCTATTTATACCTTAACACTTTGAATTAAAGGGCATTTCAAATTAAAAAGAATGCCACAAATTTGAACTCTCTAGGTGGAATGGTTTTTGAGTTATACAATATTAACGATTTCAAAACGCGGCTCAAAAACGTTGATTTTAGGATTTTTAAGGCTTTGTAACTCAGAAACCAAAAGTCAGAAAAATCTAAAAATTTATATTTTTACTAGTCTTGGTTAGTAGAACTTGCATACAAAAAATCAAGCAAATCTGAGAGGTCAAGTTCCTAACATAATGGTCAAATTGGTTGATTTGGCATGGAATGAATGACCCTAGTCCGATATCCGGATCCGACCATCACTAATAATTTCTAATACTATGTATTTTATTTTTACAGAAATAGCTTCTCTGACTGAGTAATGACTGTAAATGACTGTTGCTGAGAGGCTCACATCAACTTACCTTCAAGCCGATATTGTTTATGATTTTTATAATTTGAGTGTTATACTGTATATGAGAAGCTGTTTGTAAGTTAATGTGATATGGACATAAAGAACTTTTTAACGAGTATAAAAACAGACTTTTGAGTGAAATAAGGTTTTATCAGTTGGTAAAGTCGATGTTGACCATGTGTATTGTTGTAATTCTTTTATTCTACCATACCATTCCTCATTTGTTCAACCACTAGGTGTTTAAAAAATCAGAAAAAGCTAGTTTTTAATGTAAATTGATTACTACAATTACTAATTAATTGAAACAATGATATTCAATCTGACATTTGTTTTTAAATTCTTATGTTCCTTTTAGGATAATTAAACTTAAGTTAGGTATGTTGGTAGCAGTGAGTCAACACTTTTGTAAATTGTATTTTTCATACCATTCTTTAATTTTACCTAAATAAAGTGTTTGTAGTAATTAAGTGTTCTCATCTCTCCTTAAGAATACTATCTATACTAAGCCGATTTTTGTGAACAGAACTCCTCCCTCATTTTTGAACTGATTTTGATTATTTAAGTGTCAAAAAAATTGCCCTGATCTGTAGTTATGCAAAGTGGTTTGCACGTTTTGAAATCTTTATTAGTTTGGGCAGGATCTTCATCAAAGTTGGATTTTCTCCGATAAGATTAACATGGAGAATCTAAATATTTAATTGGAAACTTTGTCTCCACTAATTTGAAAGAATGGCTGGGCGTAGAAACTCGGTAGAGGTGTCCAAAGAAAGGTCTCGGTCTTTAGATGAGCCATCAAAAGAAGAACAAAGTAAATTCCCAAAGTAAAAAAAATGATCAAACTCGGTACTACAAAAAGTTCAAGCCAGAGCCACTAAAAAAAAATAATGCCTATCTTGACAGATGATTTGCAGTGGCCTATTACGGACCGTGGTCCACTTGCTCATGAGATTTTTTAAAAATAACATTACTTCGACTGTAAAAAATTGCAAAAAGAGTAATTATTATTTAAGCAGCTACTGTCATGACAGAAACGTCATGTTCCTTTTAAAATAGATCTCATCATCCTTTATAAGATACCATACGTTGATTGACACCAATACAGCCAATTTACAGTATTTTATTTTTGGAAATGCAGCATTTTTATGATTTACATAATTTGTTGAATGAATCCGCACAACCATATGAACGAGGCCTCTAACAGTTCAAGAATAAAATCCAGCTTCACTACAAGTATATTCCTATTCCACTACACCTAAGGCTGTGGTTTCCTAGACGCGTAATAGATGCGCTGCGGCTTTTATCCAGGTCCCAAAACGCAGCCGTCGTGAGTGGTTTCCTAGACTGCGTACAATACACATTTTTGGTGGCATGGTTGGTTCACGGGAGAGATTACTAAAGGCGGCCGGTTAGAAAACGACCTCCTTGTAACATTGGTGCGAGAGAGAGATACCGAGCTGTGTGAGTGAGACAGACTATGGCTCTTCCCGCACTCCGCTGCCGCCCCACCCCCACCCTTCCCGAACATTTATACAGCTGATCAAAATGTAAACAATTACGTTCTATGGGTATTATTGGTAAATGAACACTACATAACAAATTATATGAAATGTAATACTATAAAAATTTTAATTGTATGACCAACGTACTTCCATAATATGTCATTACAAGAGACAAATTCAATGAATTTTTTGTTGTTGGAGAATTTTGCCTTCTGGACAACATTTACTTCCGAATCCATTGCACAACACATGTCTAAAACACAGCGTAACTCAGATTCGACTGCTCTGAAAGCAGTCGATCAAAAATGCAGCTATTGGTGCGCACGCATTAGATACGCAGCCTTGGAAACCGCTTACACGAAACTCCATAAGACAAGTGTGCTGCGTCTTAGGAAACCACAGCCTAATATTCCGAAGAGAGTATATATTAACAACTTTAAGGAATTGATAAGGCTGAGACAACTAACATCTGCATGTCAAGAAATTCCAGCTTTAACACGTTGACTGCGCGCGCCGACTTTACAGGCGCTCCCCAGTGGCGGGCGAAGCCCCGGCGCGCAACCGAATCAGCGAACGCAATTGGCATTCAAATATTTCAGTCTGACGAATCACAAAAGAGCAGTGGTGACTATGCTGCGTTACCCCGAGAGTGGATGTAGTTCACTGAAACACCCAAAGGTAGCAGCACTGCATGAATCCGTATCCAGTGTCTTTGTAATGTGGGTTGAAGAGAAAAAATACCTGAAACCGGGACAAAAGCATTGCCAGACAGGATTTTACGGGAAGTTTTAGTACCAACCTACACCAAAGTAAAGCTCGCATTCTAAGCTGGCAGGCTGGCAACGATTATAACGTCTCCGTCTGAGGCTAAGCTCACACTGACTCAATATATTTCTGTTGGTATGGTGCCGACTTTAGTCGGCGCGCGCCACCTGGGAGCGCTGGCGGTCGGCACACGCAGTCAACGTGTTAACAGTAACCCCACGACCAATTTTTAAAACTATTCTAGAGGGTTATTCATTAGACGGTATGATGACCGACGTGACAAAGGAACAAATAAAACTTACACAGCTTAAGGATGGACCTCCCTTTGAAGTAAGAACGTGCCTTATCAACAAACAGATATTTTCTCAAATTAAAACATAGATTTAATCTGCATTACACTGATGAAATCGTAGAAGTGTTTACCACAAAAGATCCACCAATAACTCCTATTACGTACGGTATGGGAAATATTTTATTCATTAAATGATCATCCATATTTATAAGGTACCTATCATTATTGTTTTTAAACTTATTAGCCTACTTATTAAAAAATGCTAAATGCTCAAAATTTGTATAATATAATACTTTAATTATCGCAGTTAGATAAATTAGCAGCCTTGAAAGTAACCGTCGATTTCGAAGGGTTTCACCTAGTTATATATAAAACCCTAGATGCCTATAGTGCGATAACTAATATAGAGTTATTTTATGGATTTTTTATCGGTCAAATCCCCTCATATCCCATGAATGTTGGCTCATTGACAAATATTTGCAATTTATAAGCTTTTTTTGCAAAATTCAATCAACTATATAGGTATATCAACTGTCTGATCAGGTATACAAATGTTTACCCACTTTTAGAATAGCTGGAGATCAGAAATTTTTTTGAAGGGTCCGTCTTGGTCCCAAGCCACTCAGAAAATTTAAAAAAGTTAAAAAGTTACATTTTCAAATTTCAATCCCCTAATAAAAGGTCTTAGATTTCCCATTTTTTAAAAAGATGTTTTGTTTTAAACGGCTGTACAAAGAAAATTGTTTGTCAGGAATTATATTTTCTACAAGACACCATTAGGTGTTTTTCTAAAATCACACTACTTAATCTTCAAAAAACGCCCTACTTACAAAAATTGTAAAATTTCTCGGATTTCTTGCGTATTTTAATTTATAAAATAACCTTTTTGGGCATATATTTGTACTTTTAATGCTCCCAACTTTTAGAGAAAAATGACATTTTAAAATTGTTACCCACAAAAAAAAATTAAATGACGGATTTCCAAACAAAAAGGTAGTTTTTTAACTTTTTTTGGGTGGTTTTTAAGATTATGAAGAATAAACATGCGGTGACAAGCAGACTAGGGACTGGTTAAAATTATGAGAGTGGGTTGGTTATGGCCGTTAATCAACAGATAAAGTTAGAAACTTTTTCTAGACGCAGATTTTTTTTACTGTCCGAAATATTGAAAGATATATTCCCAATTTAAATATTATTTAATTTCATGAATACTTAGATCAGCTGTTACAGGGGAGGTGTATAATAGAGTGAGTGGTCATGGGTATAAATAAATGTAAAAATTAATATTGACCAATCCCATCTTAAGCCCCCCTCCTTCAAAGTTCCCTCTTGATGTTAAACTGTTCATAGATGCATATTTAAAAATTTGGTTGCAGCGAGGAAGCCCCCAAAGGAGGCCCATTCTTCTTCGTACCGATGATGTTAAACCCACCCCCCCCCCCCTAAAAATGCCGAAGAGGGCCTAAGACAATCTAAAATATTGTTACCCCTCTAACCCCTGAGATTGTATCATTATTGTTATATTAGTCTAACTAAAAATAGTTTTACAGTTAGTGCCTTACGCCTCTTTCACACGACGCGGCGCCCGCCGGATCCGGCGTAGGGCTATGGGAGTATATGAGTCCTTTCACACTATGTCCGGCGCGCGAGTTACCGCCGGATGCACCTTTAGCCGGACAACAGCGCCGCGCGGCATCCACGCCGGACAACTCGGTGAAGGGCTATTGGTTCTTATGGAAGCTTTCATACGCGTGCCGCATGGCCCAACCCCTACGCCACAGACAATATAATACTTTAATGCAGACGGTCAGCTGGATCTGCGCTAGGCGCTGTTTCATGATGCGGCTGTATTGCCGCGCCACTGTAGCGGAAGACGCGAAGCGTTTCCTCCTCGAGTGGCGCCGTGGGATTCTATTTAAATTTGAATGAACGCAAATACTTATCGCGCTTTTAATGAGATATTTCTCGAAAACTATTTAAGATATCTTTATGAAACTTGGTATACAGTTTTAATACGTCATAATGTATTTAAGGAAAAATAATCATTAAAAAATATGATCCTGTTTCAAAATTGCTGTGTTTTAGCGAATTTCCCATACATAGAATAAACTATTACCGTAGTACTTATCGTAAGACCTGGACCTGGGACCGATTTATTTTTCGTTTTGAGGTCCCTAGAGTCAAAAATCACCAACCGTTCAAATTCATATAAAGTGTGTAAATAAAGTGTAAATAAATAATGTGGAAAAATAATCATTAAAAAATATGATCCTGTTTCAAAATTGCTGTGTTTTAGCGAATTTCCCATACATAGAATAAACTATTACCGTAGTACTTATCGTAAGACCTGGACCTGGGACCGATTTATTTTTCGTTTTGAGGTCCCTAGAGTCAAAAATCACCAACCGTTCAAATTCATATAAAGTGTGTAAATAAAGTCTTGAAATAGGTAGATCTGTATTTTTTAAACCGAAATAGATTAAAATATTATGTTTGTGGCATTGAATGTTAACAAGGGTTCCGTTTTTTTACATCAAAAATATTGTTAACCCCCCTAACAGGGTAGGCAGGGGTGGGGGTGACTTATTGTTTTCAAATAGCAACCCCTATTGAGTGACCCCTCATTTTGAAGGATTTATCAAAAGAAACATAATGACGCAAACCCTTGGTGGATATCTCACCCCTAGCCAAAATGACAGGTATTTCAAAATGCGATTTAATGTATGTGAAAAAGCACCAATTTCAAAAATATAAAAACAAATCTGTATTTGTAAAACCGAAATGATAGAAATATTCTGTTTGTCGATTTAATTGTTAACATAGGTTCCACAATTTTTTTACATCAACAATATTTTTTAACCCCTTTAACAGGGTAGGAGTGGGGGATCGAAAACTATTAAAGATATA